TGTTTACTGTCCAACAAATAGGAACAACAATCTTTATTTCTCCCAAAAATCGAACCCAACCGTCATTTCAGTATGAATTAGTTATTCCTTGAAAAAACGAAAAGAAAGATGACTGGTAATCTGGAATAGCCAAATATTCAAAGTCATGCACACACCTTTTTCAAATGAATTTACCATTTTTAAGGCTAGTTCCGGGAAACAGCTGGTCAGGGTTACAGTTTAAGTTCAAATAGTTAGAAAAAGTTGTTAAGCATCGATGATGAGCTGTCTCAAACAATAGATATTTGGAGATTTTTATAATGATCTTCTCTATCACCACAAAAGCCGGTGATATGACATTCAAAAGTATCTTTTTTCTAGTGATATATAGGTTGATTAAGTCCAGGGCATTCAACAATGAAATGTCACCTCCCCAAAACTACCAGCTCTCCACAATAGACACTTTTCCCTCTCCTCAAGGAAGGTGATCGTTGCGGAAAGATCTGATTGTATAAATTATGTAGAACAGTCAAAACACCTAATCCCCGTTACAGGTGTTACAAGTATGTCAAGCGTGTGCCTATTGACCTGCATAATTTACAACGTACTACTTTACATACAGGTTTGTCCTTGTGACAGAACATTAAATCCGAGGTTAAGCACCTTCAGTTCAGAGCTCAGGGAATTTAAAATAAGGGCCTTTAAATCTACTTAAGTTACATGTTTTATCATTTTCTTGGAACCTAAAAATTGAGAAGAGGTAAAACTGAAAGAAGGTGTGTGTTGCTTTTGATAAATGGCTGATTTTTTTTAATTGTATGCTAAACATTTGCATTTGTACCGCCTGAAAATCTGAATATCAAACAAAGGAAACTAAATATTTATCAATTATTTAATTCAATTTTTTCCCGAAAGAAGATTCGTTCGAAAAAAAAAACTGCAGAACGTGTCATTATCAAAAGGCGAAAATCGTCCTAAAGTGTACGTCACTCTATAGGTTCTTTAATATGTCTTCAACTCAAGCAATCCCATATAGTTTTTGAAATTTATCAGTGAACTATTTTTTGAAGTGCATCCTTTAAATATTTTTGGATTCTCATGGTTCAAGTACATAGAGGATCTTATTTCGCAGGAAATTCAACCATGTTCTAATTCAAATGAAGCATTCTTTAACTGATTGC